TCCGGAGAAGATCGAGAAATCGTCGAGAGCGAAGATCGTCATGTTGCTCAGCGCAATCAGCTCGGGGTATTTCACTCGCATCGCCAGAGCAAGGATGCTGAATCCGTTGTTGCGGAGGCGGAGAATCGCGTCTCGCATCATCAATCGCATGACCGCGGGCTGGACGAGCGGCGGAGAGATCTGGTTCGGTCCGCCGGGAACGGGGACGCGATCTGGCTGCTGGAACGGGAACGTGAGCGAGTTGAGACGCTCGACGTCACAGGAGAACGGGGAGAGAGGCGCGATGTAGCCTTGGATTCCGTGAATCACGAGGAATCCGTTGTTGAACAGATCTGGACGAGTGATCTCGACGCCGCCGATGAAGATCTTGGCTGCGGAGGGGGGGCCGGCGGTGAAATTCTTGGCGGAGCTCGAGGTAACGGTGATGCATTTGCCGGGAGTAAGAGTCTCGACCTTAGTGCCGAAGGCGAGCTTGCGGAGGTAGTCCATGGTGAAGAGGCCGGGGACGATGTGCTCGCGGAGGAGGCTGGGGACGGAGCAGGAGTAGCAGGAGTGGAGAGAGGCGTCGGAGGGAGCGAACAGAGTCGAAGGCCCGGACCACGCGGTGGCGGTGGACTCGGAGGAGAGAGTCGGAACCGCCATGGCTAGCTCGTTGTAGCCGAGGTGGGCGAGGATCGGAGCCAGGAGAGCGGTGTGGATGAAGGAGTGATCGGCTGCGGAATCGCGAGCAGAGACGGCCGACTGCTGCTGCTGAGGCTGTGGAATCGGCGTCGACTGAGCGGCCGACGGGAACGGAGACTGGATCGGCGGAAACGGCTGGAACAGAGTGTTCGCAGACGAGGCCGCTGCTGCGGTAGCGGAAACCGACGGGGAGATCGCCGACTGGTCGAAGCCGACGGCGGAAGCAGCTCGCGAGGTGCAGAGCGAGAGGATCAGGATCGCAAAAGTGACGGCGACCGAGTGAGAAGTCGCCATGGGAGCGAGTTTGGAGCTAAACAGAGAGGGAAAGGATGAGAGAGAAATGAGAGCGTTCGGGTGAAGGAATTGCAGAAATGGTGAGTGAGCGACTGAAGGGGATGATCGCTCTGAACTCGGGTATTTATAGGCGAGGCCAGGCGGTTAACGGAAGGAGGCGCGTGAAGGAGCGTGGCGTCGGGTAATGTGCAGGGAGCGAGAGATGCGGAAGCGTGAGGAAAGCTGTGAGAGGACGGAATGTTCTACACGCTCTTGTTTCAGTTAGCTTTGGCGGGAAGATTGAAATTGGATCCGAGAGTTGAATCCCCTCCGTTGGTTCACAGTGATGGAGTGATTGGATGGCTTAGATCCTCTTTTGGTATACTTATCCCCTGCGGGATTGCCTTGCGCGTCTACTGTGGTCGTCTTTCGATTTTTTCCTTCCTATGAAGACTGAAATCATCCGCTCTGTAACAATTCTTATACACAAAAAGGCGTAACACTAAAAAAAATTACTTCACATGAATGCACAAGAGAATGGTTTGATTTAAAAAAAAAAAAAAATTGGTCCTCTACTGTTCAAATAAAGGTCAATTTAATTTTCATGTACTCGCCAAACATACATAACACATTTTTTCGATGAAGGTGAAGATTTTAGTTTCAAATAAAGAGGAACAGATGGAAACTACAAGGTGTGTTTATGAAGTTGACAACTAAATAATGAAATGGGAAAGAAGGTGGAAAATTATAATACAAGGATGAGAAATAAAAAAAGAAAAGAAAAGGAGAATGAGGTTGTGCTGTTAATTACTCAATATACATTATAGCAGCACTTCCCCTGAAAATAGTATCAGCTACCATACCAATCTATCTGGGTTTTAAGCCGCAACAATTTTCACAATGAAACTTGCCTTAACAATATAATGAGATTGAGACAATGAAACATTTATGTCGCTCTGCTTCATTTTGATACCCAAAATTACATATGCATTCCCATATTATTCATGGAGAATTTAGATGACAAAAACTTCTTATTGAGGTTTACTTATTTTGGATTGGTACCAAAGATAAGCATGTTAATTATCTACATACAAATATATGATGATGACTTCATTCCTAGAATTATCACATTTTGTATATACATATTTGTCAGTTTGGTTTCGCTGAAAATCGCTAGAGAAAACCAGATCATCAAACTTATGACGTCATTTTTAGGAGCTTGTTTAATCTCACACAAAGATTCAACTTTACCACTTTATACTATTGACCGATATAACAAATCAATCGTGTTGTTTTGTGTAAATTTCTTGATCCAAATCTTCGTCTAAAAATGTTGTTTTAACATCCATTTGACGATAATTAGATTATGAATTGATGGTAGAGCTATCAACAATCCAATGATTGAAATTCAAGCAACATGCGCATAAGTATCAAAGAAACATGAGCATGACAGGCCAGGCCAGGCACAAGTAGCAAAAGATGCACTTGGTGTGCTTGAGTCTCTCGTGTCGGTGGAAACTTCCTCGACTATGGTGCCCTCGGCAGTGGCGCCCATACTGGTATTCGTCGCGGAAACGGCGATGGTGGCACAGAGCATGGCAATGGAACCGACCCTGCAACCCTTAGGCTGAACCGTGTGGGCCAACTCATGGAAGCCCAAATATGGGGGCAGGCATGTTGCCCACTTCATCCGCTCGGGACATTGGTGCAATTCACCAAAAGTCCAAAATGGTGGGCTATGAATAGTTGGCCTTTGAAGATGATCTTAGATTGGTGGGACTGAAGACCAATGGTGATGAGCGGGAACAAGCAGGAGATGGTTGTAGATTGGCCCGAGTTGGCATAAACCGTCAGATGAAAGATGATCAGCTGTGCCTAACTGCCAAAGGTGGGACATGGGACAATTTTAGCCCACCGAGAGGAGAATAGGTTCGGCCGCCTACCCGAGTTGGGCTAGAAACATTTGGTTTGAGCCAAACCAAACATATCGGACCATGATCGAAACAAACGGGTCGGACCATGACTTAAACGAATAGGTCCGCTCCGACCTACAGGGAAAGCAGTGGGTATGGGGGATGTCTAGAAGGCGGTAATGGGTTTGAAAGAGCTGCAGATTCACTCTTTTCTCCTCAGATGACTCCTCAGTCTGATGAGCATCGCCTAAGACGAGGTATGAAAATGGGACAAGGCTCAAAGTCTTGGTTGAGAAGTCAAGGATGACACTAGATAGAGGAACATGATGCATGGGACTTCATAGAGCCTCCCAGAAAAAATCATGAGCAGGGCTATAACGGTAATGGTTGCCATTGCGGTAGCAACATCGATAGGTGTCATGGTTATAACCCCACTTATGATGGTGATGATGATATGACTTTAGGGCCAAGTCTCCTACCATTAAGCTCTATAAATTTAATGGCCAATAGAACGCAAGATTGTGGTTGTATGCTGCCAACATGTGGTTCCACAATCATGTGACTATGAGAGAGGAATGTGCATCTAGTGTCCTTCTATATGGAGGGTGATACCCTATAATGGTGGGGGTGGATGGGACTTATACCGATGTTGAGTTACTAATCACATGGCCAAGATTTAAGGAGGAAAATAAGTTCTAATTTGGCATAGCAGAGGGTTGGGTGCGAGAGCAGTTGGCCAAGCTGAGATAGATTGGGACGATTTTTAGGTATTAGTAGGAGTTTACGAAGCAAAAAAACATGTTCAAGGGCATTCCGGAAGATACATTAGTGGGGTTGTGTGTGGTGGGGCTACGATCAGAGTTACTTGCAACAGTGAATGTGTTTGACCGCAAGTCACTACATGTGACTTTCAAATTTGCAAGTCAGAAGAAAGAGGAGTTGGCACGTTGAAAGGGAAGTACATGGTGCTTCCATAAGGCATCAAAAGGTTTGGGTGGAGGAGCAGTGGCGCCTTGATAGCTGCATCGCAAACATTAGGGGCCGTAGTACGTGTGGTTGCACAACCAGGCCCTTACCAAATGTCATGGGGGTTTGTGAGGCTGACATCGACGAATATAGGCCAGAAGCGCAAAGAAGAAGGTTCCTTCAATTGCAGCAAGAGATACACGGTGAAAAACTAGTGCGTCGATCCTCACCTTGTGGCAGTCAATGAAGGAAAAGCAAACCAGGGGGATGCAGTTCATCCTTGAGGGCAATGTTGCTCTCAAGGGGGAGGGTATGATGGAAACCTGACTCATCCTAGTTTCATCCATTTTGATATTTGAACAATTACTTATGTTCAGTGGTATTTTGGTTATTATTGTATTGTACTTTAAGGGAAGTTTTGTGGTGATGTTTGGTATTTTCGTATTAAGGGTTAGTAACGGGTACTTTATGGAAATGTGTCGGATTTTATATTTTGTAACTATGTTATAGAGAGTAGGTAAGCATAATAAGAAGGATATTTCCCTAATACCTCTATCTAGCCGAGCCTCATCTCCCTCTCTTTTCCCTCTCTTCGTCGAGTCCAAGAGTCGACTGAACCTTCCATCTCTCTTTCTTCTACTCTAAGATATTATCTCAAATTCCTAATTCTATCCCCAATTCTTCCCAAATCCTTAATCAATTTGATTATCAATAGAAAATGTACTAGACAATTTGGGGAATTGAGCTTCATTAACTCCGTGAATCCCATGGTAGGTGACAATGTTAACATTTCTATCAAAAAATCAAATATTGATCAGAATTGAGTTGCTGTCTCTAGTGGAACCAAATTGATCAGAATTGTGAAAAGAGCATGTTGAAAATTCAATATGATGTGAGTTTTGAGTAAATAGGTCGAGGTGGGGAAAGGAAGGATTCTCCAGTACAATCAACCACTAGGAGAAGGAGGATGACTCATTGTCATTGGATTGGATGGATCCCTTATGGATGAGAATCTCAACTTGGATGATATTGGTATGATAATATGACAAAGTTTATGTGAATGTGACATCTCTATCAGAAAATCAAATATTTAAATCATGATCTTCATAGTTTCTTGTAACTAAATCAACTAAATGATTCTTCATTTACAAAAGTGAAGAAAATAAAGGAGAAGGAAAACTGGAAAAAATGGTGAAAATGGAGGGGGGAATGAAGAAGGGAAGCCTTCTAAATTCAATAAATCTTTACACTATAAATCAAACATTTGTCGCAAAAAAATGGTCAATCAATCATTCAATCAACCTAAAGCTGTGGGATAAGCTTGTGATCATGATAATCCAACCTATCCCCATCGTTCGATGATTGCATTTGTTGTTGCTATTGTGGGCAGTTTGATTGAGCCTCCTGAGCTTGTTGTTGATGCAACATTGATGTGTAGCTTGGCCCTTCCACCTCTTGCTGCTACTCATTAAACACCATAACTAAATTTAGAAGAATGTACCTTAGAACACAAGACATGGTCAATCAATCATTCAATCAACCTGAAGCTGTGGGATAAGCTTGTGATCGTGATAATCCAACCCATCCCCACCGTTCGATGATTGCATTTGTTGTTGCTGTTGTGGGCAGTTTGATTGAGCCTTATGAGCTTGTTGTTGATGCAACATTAATGTGTAGCTTGGCCCTTCCACCTCTTGCTGCTACTCATTAAACACCATAACTAAATTTAGAAGAATGTACCTTAGAACACTAGACAACGAAGAAAGAGGGGGCAGAGGGAACCTTAATAGTGGGAGCAAAAGAAGTAGGGGGCAAGAACCCAACAAGAAGCTCCGTCGGCGAAATTGATGAGAAAGCTTGCTGCCATGATGAGATGCTCTCATTGTTGTCATTATTATTACTATTATTGTTGTTGTTGTTGTTCATATGATTCCCTCCTCCTCCCATGTTGTTACAAGGATCCCCGACATTTGCATTGCCCTGTGACAATGCTTCAAATATTGAGGCGGACGACTGGTTGCTGGCCAAACATCCAAAATGTTCAATCCTTATTGCATTAGGATTAGCCCAAGGCAAAGTTGAAAGATAAAAGTGGAGTTTTTTTTCTATTTTTCTTTGTTATCAACCTGACAGGAATGCAAGATGACTCTGAGACTACATGATGAACAGAGTTTTGCTGGTTGTGTCCACCATTGTGATCAGGCAACCAATTCACGAGGTCGTTGTCGAAATTCGGTAGACCCTCTTGCGCATCTAAGTAGATCTGCATGCTTGCAGGGTCGTAAGTGGAGACATTGTTGCTCAGTAGGTACTTCTGCAACAAACGAAACACAACATATTCAACTACTAGATAACAATCGATCTTCCATTGTTTTGAATCCCATTCATGTTATGCATATACCTTGCGCTCCTCTAAAAGGGCCATTTTATCCAAGAGGTTCTTCTCGCATGACTCCAGCTCTCCAATCGACGAGAACTTTGTAGGGTCTGGCTCATATAGGTTCAATTCGTCCTCTGCCGCTTGAAGCTGGTGTTGCAAGTTGCAAACCTCTTGCTGTAGCTCCTATTATTGATAAAAAAATAAGTAAAATAAAAACATCCCATATTTTTAGTGTCTTATTCCATCCCAATATTTTCATAAAATCATCTATTTAAATTATTTAAATAATAAATTTTCATATGGTTTTACCTCAATGTTTGAGTTTGTAGCCTCTGGGCTGCAGATTTGCCATGAGATATGATTAGAGAGGAAAAATAAAAATTAAAGAAATCATAAACTTTCTTTCCACATAGTTGTTTATTGGAAAAAGGAATGCACGTTTAAACGATTCAACTATGATTTTAACTGCATACAATTCATCTACTTACTTGGTTGCTTGAAGGGCAATGTCATTGTCAGTCCTGAGCTTCTTCAGAATTTTGAGCAAATGCTGTTATGGATACATACATGGGAGATTTAGTAATAATCAAAACCCATTTACAATACTTATTACAAGGAAAATTCAGATTTTTGTTTTTGTTTTTTTTTTTGCAAAAAGGAATTACTATTTTAATTTTTTGTGCATGGCTTACCTCGCGATCCATCAAGTCACTGCGTATGGAAATGAAATTGGTAAATAAAGAAGTAATTAGCTGCTCCTTCTCAATATAGGAAAATAAAATAAAAACAAGTTAGAAAAATTGCAGATGTTACCATTCTCGATCATGGTCCGGGAGGTTTATGTAGCGAGCGACCACATCTTCAATTCTACAGATAAAGTTTGAATTATTTGTTACGAAATGGTTATGACGTGACAAAATAAAATAAAATAAAATAACTAAGAGATTTCATGACGATCAACAAACCTTCGCTTGCCGGAGAAATGGCTGAGGCGGCCGGAAGGGGAGAACATGATGAGAGCGATGTCGATGTCACACAAAATGGCGAGCTCGTAAGCTTTCTTGATGAGGCCATTTCGTCTTTTGGAGAACGTGACTTGCCGGTTCGTGATGTTCTCTATCCTCTTGATCTGAAGCTTTACACGACCCATTTATGGTTTCTTTAATTTGAGTTTGCTCTCTTCTCAATTCGCCGAAAGGTTTTTAAAATTTGTATATTTGTTTGTTTGTTTGAGTCCGTGATCGCCAATGGTGGAGGGTGTTGGGGTCAGAAAAAGGGAATGGCGAGAAACGAGGGAGGAGACAAATGGTTGGATTGAGAAAAAGAGGGGAAGAGTGAGATGAAAGGCGGGAAGGAAGGGGTCGTTATTAAAGTTGTTGATTCCTCCACCTTGAAGAGCGGATATTAGTTTGTTTGTAAAGAAAAAGGTGAAAGCAAAAAACTTTCTAGTGAAATTGTTGGAGGTGTTAACCCCTTCTCTATCAATTTCGAATTAGGAGTTCGAATTTTTTTCTACTAAATTTTGAACTAACTAGTAGTCGATATTACACATTGAGTTTAAATTTAAATATATTCTAAGTTCTAATAAATGGAGTTGTAGTAATGTAGTTAAATGAAGCAAAAAACGCAACCTAAGTGATAATATATTAGAATCTTGATGATTTAATAAATTTCAAAATACATAGAATAATTGGTCAAATTTACTACTTTAATTATTGAAATCTAGGACCAAACCAATTATCTAAATCAAATTAACCAAATCACATATAAAGGGTTGTTTTGTTGAGGAGAATGCCAACCCCTATTTGGATAACATATAGGGTTTTAAAATCCATGTATTAGCTGCAACTTTTTAATAGAAAAGTAATAAGTATCATGAATTTTCAATGGAGAAATCTTGTTTACGTCGAGCGGAAAACTCATACAAATCTGTGTGTTTTAAGATTGTTTGTCATTCCACTTCGTTGAATCTTTACATGTTCGGAAAGTATTAATATTATATTTATGCTCATTAATTCCCGTAACATACTTTTTTACACGTACAATTTTTTTCTCTTATAAATTTGATATAATTAAGAATCACGTTACCAGGATCAATCATAATTACTTCACATTTCCTAATACTCTTTTGCACACACTCAAAAGTTTCAAAATTCATCAGAATCTTCAAAAGCCATACATTTTTATAATATATTCCGTGAATTCTAAGTTCTAACCATAATTAGTTGCAAAATACATCGTTTCTTCATTCTTGTAAACTTTGTATTCCATTGCTTATGACCTATGGGAATATCTCTGCAGGCTGCACTCACCCCAAACAAGTTGGGCCCATCTTTGTGATCCAAGCCTGACCTAGGCCCAATAAGAAAGAGCGAAGCTTCCGGTTTAGGCCAATGAATGATAGCAGAAGCCTAAACCAAAATGTTAAAACCCAGAGTCCCAGACGTTCTTATCCACTTCCAAGCTCCAACGGTTCCAATTCCTCAAAACTTCCTTCCCCTGGGCATTAACTACTTTTCAAAGCCACTCACTCGCTTCAGTCTCAGTAGCTCAATTAAACAAAAATGGCGCTGTCTGCTTCCGCCATCATATGCCCCAAATCGCTCTGCCGCGCTCAAACCCCTCTCTCCATTTCAAAACCCACTTGCTCGTGTTCTTGCTTCTCCTCTTCGCAACTGGAATTCGACAGAAATGCCTATAGTAAACCCTCTTTAAACTCTGTTCCCAAGCGGAAGAATCGCATAGTTGACGTGGGCATCGAGCTATTGTCGGCTTCAGTTCTCGCTCTGTCTCCGATGGACGCTGACGCCACCAGGATCATCGAGTACTACGCCACCGTGGGAGAGCCTCTGTGTGAGTTCAACTTTGCCCGATCTGGGCTCGGCTACTGTAGCTGAAGGTTCCGGTGAAGAAGCGCCGTATGCCGAGTTGATCAATGTGAGTTAGTAATCAACAACTTAGGGTTGGTTTTTTGCGTAGTTTTACTCTTTTAGCTGGATGTGTAAACCCGACTTTTGTGTTTGGAGTGTCGTTTTGCCGTAATGCTGGTGGGGTTTCAGTGGGTCATTTTCTCATACACTTGGTGGATGTCCTGTATCTTTCGTGGATGATGGCTTTATATGCAGTGGCGGAGCTAGCTTGGAAGAGGGTGGGTCCCCGGACCCACCTTGGTTCGAGATTAAGTGCTTGTCGCAAGTTGCGATTGTTAAATATATGTATTTATACGAAATTCAATCTCACGTAAACAATCGCAATTTCAAAACAACCCCTAAGACACAAAAATAACAGTATTTGTACGAAACCCCTAATGTTAAAATCAAACCCCTCATGTTCACTACTTTTCAACTAACATATTGTAGAGAACTTTATAGCACATATTAACCTTACATATTATGTAATTAACTCCAGATTTTTACATAAAACTACATCTCTAATGGTTTATTCTTAGTTTTTTAATTTATAATTTAGGGTAAATTTCTCCATCCTCAAACGAAAATCGGTCGACAAACTATAAAAACACATCGTGGGTCATGTAAATATTAATTATTATTTATCATATATATTTTTATTTTCACGTCGGACCCACCTTGAATGAAATCCTGGCTACGCCACTGTTTATATGCTGATAATTGATATTGTTTTTGGGTTCCTGTAGATACATTACACTGCTTGATTTGGTGATGGGACGGTCTTCGATAGCAGTTACAAGCGTGCTAGACCGCTGACCATGCGGATTGGTGTTGGTAAGGTGAAAGCATTATCCCTTACAGCTTGTCAGGTCATTGTATTACCCGGTTCTTAAGGCTAGTGAAACTTCAGCGGTCAGAAGTAAGATGCTTAAGTTATATTAAGTGGTTCGTGCCCATTGATCCAAAAGAAACTAGTCTTGTAGAAGATGAATTCAAAGCTATGCTTGAAATCTAAAATGTGTGAGGTCTAGCAACAAGATGTATTGATCCAAGTGTGCTTTGTTTGTTCATTGTGACTATCGTTTGTATACAGGTGATTAAGGGTCTGGATCAGGGGATTTTCGGGGGTGGTGGAATACCTCCGATGCACATAGGTAAATGACCAATATCATGAAAGATGGAAGATTGGACAATGTTGTTTTGAACCCTTATGTTTGTTGTCTGCAAAAGCTTGTAGAGATGGCCTAAAGCAGTACTGTCACAGGCCACACACAGGTGGTAAGCGTAGGCTTCTTATTCCTCCAAAGCTATCATATGGACCAGAACCTGCAGGCTGCTTCTCAGGTGATTCTTACCATTGCCAAAGCAGAGAAATGTGTTGCAACCGCCCCTCCAGATCGGGGTACCCGTCGTGAACTGATCGGAGTCGTCATCTATCTTATTTGTGGTGGATCGAACACCTTTTGGTCCGGTCTCGACCTTAGGGTCGAAACCGGGACCTGGTCTGCGAAATTTAGAGTTCTGGGTTCGGGAGTACGGTTACGTGTGGGGAAGTGTATTCACACCCCACAACGCCCAAAATTGGTACTACCTAAATCGATAAGCCTTCTTAAGGATTGGGGGTTTTATTTTTTGCGCCTTATTCGCGTATTGAGAACACCCAATCCTATAAAGTATAAACAAATACGCGAGTAAGGCGCAAATAATAAAACATCCAATCCTTAAGAAGGCCGATTTAGGTAGTACCAATTTTGGGCGTTGTGGGGTGTGAATACACTTCCCCACGCGTAACCGTACTCCCGAACCCAGAACTCTAAATTTCGCAGACTAGGTCTCGGTTTCGACCCTAAGGTCGAGACCGGACCAAAAGGTGTTCGATCAACCACAAATAAGAAAGATGGCGACTCCGATCAGTTCGCGACGGGTACCCCAATCTGGAGGCGCGGTTGCGACAGTGGCGACTCCGCTGGGGAATCTTATGAGAGTCAAACTACATTAATCGTCGATAAGCTTTTCTTACTTTCTTATAATGGGTGTTATGTGTTTATTACATCAATTTGTGCTTTAAATTTGTGATGTGTTTCAATTTTTTTTTTTTTTTTTTTGCATCCGTGCATAAAGCTCTCTTCCCGAGTTGTCCTTATAGCAAAAAAGGAAGAAAGTAGTGTGACTACTACAATAGTAGGGGAAATGCGAAAATTTCCCAAGCAGGTTGAACTCAAATCCGGGGATGATTTGGGGTATCATGCTAAAACTCGAAATGGTTATAGTGTGGTACAACTTGGGAGCCTGATTCCTTAAGGTCCCTATCCAACAAGTTTGCCTAGAAACTACCTAAGCCGCAACTTAATCCTAGAGCCTACCCCAAAAACACGACGTTATGCTGTTGAAAAATCCCTAGGGCTGTTAACTAGGTTGTTTTATTATTAATACAAATGTGACGTATTTGTTGCTCGTTTCTTTCCTAAATGCTAAATGTTTATTGCTCATTTCTTTCCTGTTCGTTATTTGAGAAGTGGACTGTAACATGAGTCTGTTTCTTTCTCATCATAAGTAAAAAATAATTTTCTCGAAACAATTAAAGAAATTTACAATTATCATAACACACATGCATCACCATCATCATGCATTCTCATGTTATGATTGTCGCGCACAGTTAATTTGGAATCTATTATGTATGATGTTAGATGGATCAAATGACGAGAAACCTAGTCGAACACAACATAGCTATCATCCCCAACTTCATGCCCGGACCGGCATGGGCATATCCAATGAATGACAATATGAGAAGGCTGTCAGTGGAGATCGCACTAGACATCATGTCAAGAACTCTTAAAGGGTATTCTGAGTCCTTTGTTGAAAGATCAAAAAGGGAATTAATCAACACCCATGGATACTAAAATGCTCTAGTGGAATACCTCGACTGGTATCCAGAGCTCATATGTCTGAATTTGTTCTATATACCGTGAAATGAGTATCAAGAAATGTCAAAAGAAATTTATTGTATGCTGAGGCATATGGTGCGTTTGAACTACATAGGGTTTATCCTTCATAAACCCACACTAAGACGATGTCTTCAACAATGGATTCTCTTTCCAAACAACATCAATCTCTTTGGAAGATGGCTCCTCGAACATGCCCAGATCGGCGGATGGCTTGGGCTCGTGATGGATCCAAAGACTCTAAACTATATGGCCATTACGCTTCACATGAACAGAGAAATTTGGGTGGTCGAAGAGGGGTTTGAACTGGTGGAGACCCAAAGGGCCGTACTGGAAGGGAGCTCGAATGAGAATCCGACAATCGAACAATCTAGGGTGACCAGATACTAGATGATTCTGAAAGAAAAACTCCATGATCTGAATCACCTCTTGCCACATCAAGTTCCAGCAGTGCTCATGTCCCAAGAAGGTTATCACTATGATGGAAGAATCAAGGAGTGTTACTTACCAACACTCGCCATGACAAACAACTTAATAGAATAAAATATTATGGTCTGAGGCGAGTGGCAACATCTCATGCCTTTTTAATCGAACAAGCTTTCGTTGAGGAAGTGCTCCTCCCAGAGCCAGCGCTCCCACATCTGTGAGAAGAGAAGAAGTCGTTGGGAGATCGACCTGTGGAAGAAAGGTCGACACTTTTGGAAATTTTTTTGCCCCAAGGCCTCTTCGTAGAAAGAAGTGTGCGGTCTTGATGCCTTTTCCATTTATTATAGTAATGGGGAAGATGTCTGGGATAGAGTGGCTAGTGACGCCACCTTTGTATATATTCTGTAAATAACGGAAGTTTGTCCTAGTTGATTGAATAAAAAATGTGATTTTTGTATCTGACGTGTATATGATTGATTCAATTTTAACTGTGCGCAACAATAATAACATTGCATACATGCATTTGCATTTGCATTTGTTAAAAAGATAATATTGGCACCAATGGGAAATCTCATGATTAGGTTTTGTCACAAGATAAAAATTCATTTGGGAACCAACGTTATTACAAAACGGAATCAGTCCGGTACCCCTCCTTGTCCAAAAGTATTGTCATAATACATCCTCCTTTCTACTACCATACCATATTATTACACACCGCCTTCTACCCAAGTATTGTCCAGCCCTTACATCCCGGTCACATAATTAAAACTATTATATATTGCTTACATAACATTGATCATACGTCTTCAGCCTTTAAAAGTGGAATCGACTATAGTACATAAGCTCTTGCTGGATCTTCTCGAGGGAAGTCTGGAGGTTGTGATCCGGGTTTTCCAATTGAGAAACTTGTTGCCTTATTTCTTCAACTTCAACAGATAGCCCATGTGCTCTTCTTGTTCATCGGTGACTAGTCCCTTGAGGCAATTGACTTTGGCAGTCTCATTGAGGTAATTGTTTTCTGATGCTTGCGTCATACTCTACCACCCATACACCTCTGCCTGAAGTGATTCCTTTTCATCGATTATCTAGTTAACTTTCTGTTGAAGCCTTTCAATCTCTTGATGATACCTTTTTATAGCCAATTCCCTTCGACGACTCAGCTCTTCTAACTGGTTGACCCGTTCCCCGAGAGCGGTATTGGCTTCATGTTGTTCATTCATGATGACTCTCTGTTGACGGCGAGTGTTATCCAAACTTTCTATTTTCTTTTTCAAAGTCTCATTGATAGTCTCGAGGTCTCTTATTTTACCACCCCTTCCATTCAGGTGCATCTCCATTTCATCATTTTCTCTTTGTAGCCTTCTTATTTCCATATCTTTTGCAAGCGTGCTTCCTTGTAAATGAATTTTAGGAGGTAATGCCGACTCATATGTCACCTTCCTCTTTCCTTTCATCGTCATGGTAAGAGCTCTTCCCCTGTTTTCGTTCCACATCGCATATTTTGGAGTCACAGATGAGTGAAGGTAGGTCGGTTGTCTTCAATTTACTCCGATGACCGGCGGGATGGGAGAGTTGAACTTCACTTACTCAGATCTGGATGTGGAAACAAAGAGTAAATATGCTATCAAGTTATGGAAGCAATCAAGGCTCATCGATCATTCAATGAGCGATGAATACAATAGAAGATTCCCATACCTTCACTCATCTGTGACTCCAGAATATGCGATGTGAAACGAAAACAGGGGAAGAGCTCTTACCATGACGATGAAAGGAAAGAGGAAGGTGACATATGAGTCGGCATTACCTCCTAGAATCCATTTACAAGGAAGCACGCTTGCAAAAGATATGGAAATAAGAAGGCTACAAAGAGAAAATGATGAAATGGAGATGCACCTGAATGGAAGGGGTGGTAAAATAAGAGATCTCGAGACCATCAATGAGACTTTGAAAAAGAAAATAGAAGTTTGGATAACACTCGCCGTCAACAGAGAGTCATCATGAATGAACAGCATGAAGCCAATACCGCTCTCGGGGAACGGGTCAACCAGTTAGAAGAGCTGAGTCGTCGACGGAAATTGGCTATAAAAAGGTATCATCAAGAGATTGAAAGGCTTCAACAGAAAGTTAACCAGTTAATCGAGGAAAAGAAATCGCTCCAGGCAGAGGGGTATGGGTGGCAGAGTATGGCGCAAGCATAAGAAAACAATTACCTCAATGAGACTGCCGATGAACAAGAAGAGCACATGTGCTATCGGTTGAAGTTGAAGAAGTAAGGCAACAAGTTTCTCAATTGGAAAACCCGGATCACAACCTCCAGACTTCCCTCGAGAAGATCCAGCAAGAGCTTATGTACTATAGCCGATTTCACTTTTAACGGCTGAAGACGTACGATCAATGTTATGTAAGCAATATGTAATAGTTTTAATTATGTGACCGGGATTTAATAAGGGCTGGACAATACTTGGGTAGAAGGCGGTGTGTAATAATATGGTATGGTAGTAGAAAGGAGGATGTATTATGACAATACTTTTGGACAAGGAGGGGTACCAGATATATCTCGTTTTGTAATAATGTTGGTTCACAAATGGATTTTTATCTTGTGACAAAACTTAATCATGAGATTACCCGTTAGTGCCAATATTATCTTTTTAACAAATGCAAATGCATGTATGCAATGTTATGATTGTTGCTCACAGTTAAAATTGAATCAATCATATAAACGTCAGATACAAAAATCACACTTTTTATTCAATCAACTGGGGCAAACTTCCGTTATTTACAGAATATATACAAAGGTGGCGTCACTAGCCACTCTATCCCAGGCATCATCCCCACTACTATAATAAATTGAAAAGGCATCAAGACCGCACGCTTCTTTCTACGAAGAGGCCTTGGGGCAAAAAAAATTCCAAAGTGTCGACCTTTCTTCCACAAGTCGACCTCCCAACGACTTCTTCTCTTATCACAGATGTGGGAGCGCTAGCTCCGTGAGGAGCACTTCCTCAACGAAAGCTTGTTCGATTAAATAGGCATGAGTTGTTGCCACTCGCCTCAGACCATAATTATTTTGTTCTATTAAGTTGTTTGTCATGGCGTGTGTTGGTAAGTAACACTCCTTGATTCTTCCATCATAGTGATAACCTTCTGGGGACATGAGCACTGCTGGAACTTGATGTGGCAAGAGGTGATTCAGATCATGGAGTTTTTCTTTCAGAATCATCTAGTATTCGGTCACCCTAGATGGCTCGATTGTCGGATTCTCATTCGAGCTCCCTTCCAGTACGGC